TAGAGAAGACTCACTAGTGCACAACGGACAACGAATCAAACTAGAAGGAAACAAGTGGTAACTAGTATCCTAGTTGAAAGGTTTAACTATTGCGTCGTAAAGTAACAGTAATTTAGCTAACACCAAAAGGGAAACAGTAAAACATGAGGTACCAACTCCTGTCAACAAAACATGTGGCTGAATTGCTGTACTCGATGTAGTTGTACGCTCACGCACCACTTCCTACCGCCCTTTGCTGACACTCGCCCAGGTTGCTCTCCTTTGCCAGTGCTCGTGCGCGCAACTTGTCTCTATTACTTCGAGAATTCCTGAAAACATAGAAAATACCACGACCCAAAAATCAGAAGGAGCTATCACCGCTACCACTGGTATAGCCCCAACAATATAAAATGTACAAAGAAAGGAGAAGAAGAAAACGAGAATATAAGGGGGTGGGGGCAGATTTGGGACGCAAAAAGGGTGGGGCAAGAAGACCCGATACTATTATATATCAAAAATTCATTTGAAATTGAGAAGCAAGGTCGAGAAAGAGAGTAAGTGAGAAGACCACAGATCTGGAGTCAAACTCGCCAGATCAGTGGTATTTCCAACGATGGTCACCTATTAGAGGTCGTCAAATTTGATTTTTTTGTGAAGGCTTTTTAGATCTAGATTTTATTTGTTAAAAGAAAGAGGAAAAAAAGTATTAGAAGATGAAGACAAAAAATAGGGGTCACCGGCGCAGCTTCGTTTTCGGCCAGATCTAAAAAAAATGCCGGTTGGTTGCTAGATTTTCTCCCTCGTGATACTAAATAAACACAAACAGTTGTAAACCTTGCAGAGAAGAACAAATTAACGAAAATTGGAAACCATACCTTTTGACAGCAAAGGCGAAAGTACGAACGAGAAGGGTAGAAATCAGAAATATTGAATGATATTATACGTGATATTCATGGATTTTTAGGTTTCTTAAATCAGAAATAATTGGAGACAAAATTTGTCAATAATGGATGTGGAAAACTAGTATCAATATTAGTGCACAATCATATCCCAAAAATCAACGACGCTCGTGACCACATGCAATAGCAATGTCATAGTCATTCCCTTCCAAAACTCACTGTTTACTCTGTATGAAGTACTTAAATTGATGTAAATGTGATGTGTCTGCTTTTTCCTGTGAACAAACCATTAAAACACATAAAAAGCATTGTCCTTCATTTTCCTCTTTTTCTATGTAAACATTTTCAGTTCTCTTCTCCATCTTCAAACTACTCCATTTAACAAACCCATGGCAGCAAAGCCAATTAGTTCCCCACCAAAACTTCCTCTTTTTGCCATGAAATCACCTCAGCATTCAGGAATACTAACACCACCACTTCACACTTTAGCTTCTGTTCCTTTTAAATGGGAAGAAGAACCTGGCAAACCTAAGCCCTGCACTGACCTAATAACTTTACCAAGTTCCATTTTCAATGAACCCAAATGCTTAGAACCTCCTCCTAGATTTTACTTGGAAAATACCAAAACACCCTCCCCTACTACTGTACGTGAAGGACCTTATAATGTTCTAAAGCCCAAAGGCAGAGGGCAACTTGGTACTTTGGTTCTTTACAAGAATAATAACGTGCGTAGAAGAAGAGGAAATTGGTGGCGGCGGTATTTAAAACGTAAGGGTGGTAGAAATAAGGAAACAAATGTGGATTTAACAGATTGTGGGAGTGACTGTGATGAAAGTGGACATAATTCAAGTACTGTGAAAATGGCTAGACTTAGAAGAAATGGAAGTTTCTCTAGCCTCACTCAGTCCAGGCCTCACATCTGGGTAAGTTTTTTACAACTTCAATGTTAAGATTTCGTTTGGATTGGTTTATTTTAAGTGCTTTTAAATTAAAATAGTATTTAAATAATTTTATAGTGTTTTAATAAAGTTAAAAAAAAAATACTTATTTTTTAGCTAGAATAACTAAAATAAGCCAAAAGTTAAAATTCCTAACTTATGTTTTTCTGGCTTAAAACTCACTTAAACAAATCCATCCAAACGGGCTATAAAACGCGGCTCGAATGCCTTTATGCTATAGGCTGTGTTAAGCATGCTTCTTTTACAGAAAACACATTCTTTTTCCATGACAACAAATTACCGACAAGCATTAAGTATTGAAGAGTCCTCTTTAAGAGTTAGAAGCCAATTTTTTTATATGCTCTCTCCGTCTCAATATAGATGCAATATAGATTTGTTAGTTTGACTTTGTTCGGAGTGTAATTTTTTTTGTTTTTTTAATTTATAGTTCTAATTTAAGGAGTAAAAGCTTCGTGAGGTCATAATATTTGTATTGTTATAAAAATTCCTTATTTAGATAAAAATGAGAAAAATAAAAAATTTAAAGGTAAATTATTTTTAAATATAAAAAAGTATAATTTTTTAGAACGAAATAATAAAGTAAGCACCTCATTTAAATTAAAACAAAAAGAGAAAATTACTGACGAGCATCAAGTATTGAAGAGTACGTCTTAAGAGTTAGAAGCTAGTAATATTTTTTATGAATACTAAAGAAAATGAATATTTTTGAAACGAATAGTCCTAAAAACTTAAAAGGTAAAAGCTTTATGGGCCATAATATTTGTGTGATCATAAAAACTTTTTATTATGGGTCATACAAATGCACAAAATAAAAAATTTAAAGTTAAATTATTAAAAATAAAGAAATGTATCATTTTTTGGAGTTGACTAACAAGTTAAGTACCACATTAAAATGAAGGGAATAATCATTATATGTAGCAAAGTTTGAATTAACGTTGAATTTAAGAAAGAAAGATTTTTTTTTAAAACTAATGGCAAAGAAATTTTTTAAAACATATGGCCCTAAACTTGTCATGAAATTTCTACGGCTATAAAAAATTATATGAGGAGCGGGTTGGTGTTGTTCGAGGTCGGGAGCTGGGGTGGATTGGGGGAGTGAAGGTGGGAGTGGGGATGTTGAAAGAGAGTTTTGAAAAACATTAGTAATATTTTCCCTCGTTTTTGGTAAATAAGTCATTTTCTAAAATGAGTTTATAAGAAAAATATTTGATCCAACCAAACAAAACAAAGAAAAATTATATATTCATACCAAACAAAACCTTTTATGCTTTTTTTTTTTCTTTTTTTAATGATGTGCCCATGTTTTAGAAATTTTAGATCTGCCTCTGCTTACCGATAACTAATTTAAATGAGGAGAAATTCAGAAAATGTTTCGCATTATATGAAGATTTCGTTAGCGTTTGGACATAGATTTCCAAATTTATTTTGAAAAATCTGATTTGGGTAAAATTTGATTTAAAAATGAAAATGTATTTGGACATAGGTCTTCAAAACATATTTCCCAAATTTATTTTGGAAAAACATATGTATTAGGGATTTGGCCCAAAACCAGCTCTTTTACCAAAATATAGACAAAATCTATGGCCAAACATGTATTTGCCAAATAAAATCCAAATTTATTTTGGCAAGCTCTGTGGTCAAACGGTCCTTCCGTTCTTGAGAAATTCAAAAAATGTTTCGCAAATTGCTCTCACTTTATTCGCTGAGAAATTAATGAGTTTTACACAGGTTCAACAATTTAAAGTAACTAGTTATGACTAGTGTAAAAGCATGATGTGTACTTAAAGGCATAAGACAGAAAAGCTTAATAATTGGGTTTGTTGAAGTTGAAGACGACACTGGGGTTATTGCACGGCTAACTTACTTCACTTTTGCCAATTAAGTATGAACATTTCTCCCTCCTATTTAAGTTTTTTTTTTGGGTGTTTTTGTACATAATATAATAACCTTAATTTTATTCTCGGATCTTTGCATTTCTTACTCTTCTATCACCATTCAACACAACACTGTCCAAATTAACATTTTTACTACTTCAATAAATCATTTGTGTGCTATTATTGGCTTTGATAATTATACCCCCTCTATTGTTCCATTAGCATTTAGAGAACTTCAATCCTCTATGTACCTTGTCAAAGTTCAGTTAATTGCTGAATCTGTAATTGTTCAGTTCCTTTTTTCCCCGTTTTGGTTCTTTTTAAAATTCAATAATGTCCAAAATTTGTAGGCTTCCATATACGAGGGTTTCAAGCAGGTCATACCGTGGAAGAACAAAAAATCAAAGAAAGAAGTGTCAATTGTATAAAAGTCCAACATGAGCTGCTCTATTAATCAATTCAAGAGTAGCTGACTGTTTTATCTAGTGGTCTTCTAAAAGTACTCGTTATATATATATATATAGTGGAATTACGTTTTCCCCCTGAGATGTAATATACAATCTTTAGCTTTAATTGCACCTTCAGGGGTTGTTTGGTCGGAGAGAAGTTATTTCGGGATTAATTATTCCGGGATTAGTTATTCCACCTTTTCATAAGAAAAAAAAATATAATACCGAAATAACGAATCACAAATAACTAATTTCGGAATTAATTATCCCGTAATTTTATCCAATCAAACATGAGATAAACTCATCTCAAACTTAATTTTGGAATTACATATATCTTATTTCTCGTACCAAATGAGCCCTTTAATGTACTGTAAATTTGGTCATTGTTATTGTACCCTGGGGTAGATCTACAAGGTAGGGTATGGGGCACTCATGCGCCCCTCCTAAATTGTGTATTACACCAGTATTTTTTTGGTAACCCACTTAAATTTTTATGTGGGATCCCACACTCAAGAGAGCATCCGGTGCAGTAGTGGCTTTGTGCACCTTTGCCTCCTAGGTCTAGAGTTTGAATCCCACACCTATCTTTCAATAATAAGCCATTTTTTATATTTCTCCTTTTTCTTTCTTTTTTGTTTCAATTGAAATCCCGTGCCCTAGCTTCTCTTTTTTGGTGCGGAAAAACCAAAAATAAATAAATTAAAAATACAAAAAAAGTAAAAAAAAAAAATTGAGGGGGTTAGCAGGGAGGTAGATGTGAGTAGGTGGTGCAGATTTTTTTATTAAAAAAAGTAAATTAAAAATACAAAAAAAAATAAAAAAAATAATTAAGGGGGTTGGGGGGATAGATGGGTGGGTAGTGTAGAAAATTAAAATTACCAAAACAAAAAACAAAAGTAAAATTGGAATAACTAAGTAAATTTCTGGATAAGTTGGGTTGAGATCTCTTTGTTTTGGGTGAGTTTCATGGATAATATTTTGGCTGCTTAATGGGTCAGAATGAGCTATAAAAAATAGATATTTTTATATACATATACACTATATGAAATTATATTACCTCCCTACTCAAGTTTTACTATAATTATATTTTATATACCCAATTACCATTTATATACATTTTAAAGGAATTAATGATAATAATTAGTCTCCTAAAATTACTCTAACATATCTTTCACTCTCACATGTTTTTCTCTCCACATCCTATCCCACTCCTTCACGTGTCTTGCACCCACCCACAATTCCACCATTGACAACCATTAAAAACTTTTGAAGTTTTGAATTCGAATTTGGGTTTCAAAAAAATATTATTTGATTGAATTTGATGTTGTTGTAAAGAATTGAGAATTCTCTCTATGTCTTTCTCTATCTCTCAATTTCTAATTTCAGTAATATAAAGCAACGGAAAAGAGAGCAACAATTCCACCATTGACATCCATTAAAAAGCTTTGAAGTTTTGAATTCGAATTTGGGTTTTTAAAAATCATTATTTGTTTGGATTGAGTGTTGTTGCAAACAATTGAGAATGTGATTTGGAGTTTATATCTTAATTTTTAGGGATTTTGGTGAAGATTAGACTTGATTTTTGTCATGACCCATATTTTTCACCTTCGGGAGTCGTAATGGCGCCTACTCATAAAAGTTAGGCAAGCCAAATGTTATAAATTCATTACCCTTTTTATTAAGCATGTTCAATAATTCTATGTAATAAGTGATTTAAGTAGCTGAACAAACTAAATAGCCAAAAATGCGGAAGACGAAAACTTAATCATTAACCGAACATTTGCTATATAATCTGAAATATAATAATACCCAGAATTGATGTCACAAGTCATGAACTATCTAAGAATACTACAAATAAGGCCTGAATGGAAATACATAAGTCTGTCTTTGAATAAGTAAAAACACAAAGAGAAAAGATATGAGGAGACACCAAGGCTCGCGGACGTCTGCAGGACTACCTCAGGTCGCCTGAGTGGACTGAAGACAACACCCTCACTGCGGTCCAAACGCTTCGGTATCAGTATTTGCACACAATGCAGAGTGTAGTATCAGCACAACTGACCCCATGTGCTGGTAAGTGCCTAGCCTAACCTCGGCGAAGTAGTGACGAGGCTAGGACCAGACTACCAAATAAAACTTGTGCAGTTAAATTATATACAACGAAAATAAAAGCAGATAAATTACAGTTAAAGTTGGGCGGGGAAACATGCTGCGGGGAGTAATAGATAACAACGAAATAATAGTAGAGAAATGTAAGGAACACCATAAATAAATTACCATCAAAAGATAAGGAAATACGAATCAAGTACACATGTAATACCGTTGCATGCGTGCAACCCGATTCCATTTCATATGATACCGTTGCAGCTTGCAACCCGCTCCCATTTCATATAGTACCGTTGCAAGCGTGCAACCCGCTCCCATTTCATATACCCATTTCATATATTACCGTTGCAGGCGTGCAACCCGCTCCCATTTCATTTATCAACACCAATCACAAAAGAATCCTGGCAAAGGAACAATAATGTAATAACAACATCCCGACAAAGGAACAATAATATAACAACATCCCGACAAAGGAACAATAATATAACAACATCCCGACAAGGGAATAATAATATGACAACAATATCCCGGTAAGGGAACAATAATATCATAACAACATCCCGGTAAGGGAGCAATAATATAATCCTCATATGAAGCACGAATAAACCACAACGGAGTCATAAGAATTAAAATACAAGACTTACGGGCATGCTTGACACCGATGTATAGATACTCGTCATCATGCCTATACGCCGTACTCCACAATTAACACATAGCAAATAAGACACAACTCCTAATCTTTCAAGCTAAGGTTAGACCAAACACTTACTTCGAACTTCCACGACTAACTCAAGCCTCAAACACCGCTTTTCCTTTTGAATTTGGCTCTAAATCAAGTGTATCTAGACATAATTGACTTAATAACATCAATAAACACTTCAATTACAATGCTTAGTTATGAATTTTCTATCATTTTTTCCAAAAAGTCAAAAATCGACCCTGGGCACGGTTGGTCAAAACACGAGGTTCGGACCAAAATCTGATCACCCATTCACTCATGAGCCTGAATATGTAATTAGTTTCGAAATTCGACCCCCAAACGAGGTCTAAATTCTAATTATACAAAAAGTTCTAACTCTACCAAAATCTCTAATTTTCTACTCTTAAGAACATGATTTAGGTCTAGAAATCTAATAAGTGTTAATGGAAATTGAAGAAAATGAGTCCTAGATCACATACCTATGAAATTGTGTTGAAGTTCTCTTTCAAAAATTGCCCAATTTGAAGTTTAGAAGAAGTTATGAGTTTTGGGTTAAATCCCGTTTTTGCTTTTGTTTTAAAAATCACTGGGCAGATCGTCATCGCGTTCGCGATGGGTCAGGCCCAATTAACCATCACGTTCGCGATAACATGCTTGCGTTCGTGGAACTTCAACCCCCAAAGCCTTCGTGTTCGCGTTCGCGTGGACGCGTTCGCGTAGAGTAAAATCCCTCTCCCCCGCCCCGGCCCAAAAGCTTTCGTGTTTGCGATAGCAGGCCCGCGTTCGCGAAGGGAAACACCCCCAAAGTTTCGCGTTCGCGTAGAAGGAAGTTTCCTTCAGCCTGACTTACCCTTCGCGTTCGCGAAAGTCCTTCCGTGAACGCGAAGAACAATACACCAGAACCCTAGAAACTGAACACCTACAATTGTTTTCAAGTTAAAAACCTATTCGAAACTCACCCAAGCCCTCGGGCTCCAAACCAAACATGCATACTAACTCAAAAACACCCTATGGACTTACTCGTGCTATCAAATCGCCAAAATAACATCAATAACTATGAATTTAACATCAAAATCATGAAATCACCTAAGAACTTCAAATTTTTCAATTTTCACAAATACGGTCTGATTCACGTCATTTCAAGTCCGTTTCTTACCAAATTTCACAGACTCATCTTAAATCACATATAAGACCTGTACCGGGCTCCAAAACTAAAATATGGTCCCGATACCATCAAGTTTTAAACACATTTCATTTTCAAAAACTCATAAATATTACAGAAAATAATTTTATTTAAAAATTTAGTTCTCGGGCTTGGGACCTCGAAATTCAATTCCGGGCATACGCCAAAGTCCCATATTTTTTTATGGATCTTCCGGGACCATCAAATCATGGGTCTGAGTTCGTTTACCCAAAATATTGACCGAAGTCAACTTAAATTCATTTTAAAGTCAAAATTTATCATTTTTCACAGATTTTCACATAATGACTTTCGGGCTACGTGCCGGGACTGTGCACGCAAATTGAGGTGATGCTAAAAGAGGTTTTTAAGGTCTCGGAACGTAGAATTCATTTCTAAAACAAGTGATGACCTTTTGGGTCATCATAATTTTGGCTGAATTTTAAATTGAAACTCGGAGAAGAAGAAGAAGAGGAAGACATGATATACATTATATTTACGAAATTGTAGTAAAATTATAAAAAATTGTAGAAAAATTGTATTATGTTGTTTATATATTTTTCTTTTATTTATTTAATTATTGTATGAAAGTTGAACAATATTGTATTAAAATTATATTTAAGTTATATGATATTGTAGTTGTATATAACTGAGTAGAAATAATATATAAAAATTGTAGATAAGTTACTCCCTTCGTTTCACATTAGATGAGGTAGTTTGACTCGGCACAGAGTTTAAGAAAAAAAAAGAAGACTTTTAAAACTTGTGGTTTTAAAAGCTTAAGGGCTAAAAGGTTTGTGGGGCCATGACATTTGTGTGACTATAATATGAAACGGAGGGAGTATATAATATATAATTAGTTGTATGAAATTTATTTTTACTATGTATAAATCAGATACAAAATATATAAAAGGCATATTGTATAAATTTTGTATTTAAGTTGTATGTTATTGTAGTTGTATTTAAGTGAGTAGAAATAATGTGTGAAAGTTGTAGATAAATTGTATAATATATAATTAACTGTATGAAATTTATTTTTACTATGTATAAATCAGATATAAAATATACAAAAGACATTATATGAAAGTTGAACAACATAGTGA